TGTAAACTACTTGTTGGAATAATTAGTCCCGTCTTTTCCATACATTAATGGCTCAGAAGTTGTTTAGGAGTCTTCTGGTGAAGAAAAGCTAATTTACTCAACTGACGTAGACCAAAGGTTTCCTTTTTTTGGACAATGAAATCAACTGAGTAAATAATTCACATAGTTTAAAATTAAATTTACCAAATCACCTTACGGCAAGTGCGTGTTCGAAAACTGCACATGCAAAAAGAGTTTCTCGACCAGACTAAGTGAAGGACTATTTATAAACCTTATACATTGGTGTCATACTTGCCTCCCACGCAGACGTTCTTAGGGGTTCGTCACGCGTTCCTGCCCCACTAACCTCTGCGCCGGAGGCTAGTATCATACTTATCTATCAAACATTCCTTGAAATATCATAAATGAAGACGATAACTGTTAAATATCACAAGTCACAATGTTCGGTGTTTATCGTGCATTTGATCATACACACATGCGAATTTGCGCGTTATAAGTAATAAAATTATTATTAATATTGTTATTATTACCTAAAACACGTAAATGACAACGGTTAATGAACTTGTAAAATTCATACAAATCGGGTCACAATTCACTTTTTAAATTGTGCAAAAATTATCGTTTTTAACCTGTAAAACTGTGATCGTCTCCCTGTTTTAGCTGGACTCTGTTAGCCCTTAAGGATTTCAATTACAATTAATTCCACAGAAACAAACCATTATTATGGATTAATTTTCGCATGCTTAATTGCTTACAGTATTGTATTACAGTTCGTTTTGCAATCAAGCGTTTTACTTCAAGAAGACTACTGTATTTTTATTATTTTGTAGCCTTGTTCCAGTTCGTAGCGTGTATACTGTTACGCTGTTAGCTTACTAAGCCGTGAGGGAACGTTTGCTTTTAATAAACGTTTGATTGCACCCGAGAATATGATTCCACTTTTTTTATGTTTTAACTCTTTTGCACAAGTAACACAGATGTGCATTCATTGTGAATAGTTTTAGCTTTATTTTCTTATAATCTCTGGTCTCACGTTACCTCCACTCTCTATATTAAAGCCGGGCGAACACCTCTCTAAGACGAATAGTCGGGGCCGGTCCAGGAAGTGTCCTTCTTGGAGAGAGTTGAGTGTATTTTGTTTTTTGTTGTTGTTGTTGTAAAAGAAGCACCCGTTTTGTGTGGTCTATTCCACACGAAGCTATTTTCTGTTGCGGGATATAGCGGGGGGAGATAAATGTTTGTTTTCTTTACTGATAGATAGATACCGTATCTATCAACATTGGACAATAAGAGCGAAAATTCTAAGAAATTTTACTCATTGCTCCTGTTTAAGTATGGAAAGCAGAGGAAATCGTCAACCGCTTTGTAGGGTCTTAAGAGTTAATATTTCATTTGTTTAGGATTAATACTGTGTAGTGAACCTTATTACAACGAGGCTGGCTATGAAAAGCAAAGAGGAACGGTGGAGGGACGAGAAAACAGCCGCCTGTACAATGAAATGGTTTTACTAAGGGCCTGTTTACATGGAGGTGGAGGACCCTACTAATTTTGACGCGATGCGAGCTAAAGTTGCATCAAGCTCCATTAGGGAAGAGTGTGTTCAAGCACATGCGGTGTCTGGAGAAGTAGTACCGAACGACAAAGTACATCACACTGAACCTTGCAGCATTGGTGTCAGCAAAGATGGTTCCGACCAATCAGCTGTCTTGGCTGAAGGAAAACCCTCAAATATCGAACCCCAAGGCGAATGTCAAGGAGCCATGACATCAGAGAAGAATGTTCCAGATTATTCCTTGTTCCCACTCTCCCGCGGTTTTTGCTTGAGTCTCGTGAGAGCGTTGGATAGTTTTGAAGCCGCCTTAGAAAAGGCTCAACTACCAGACTGCTCTGAGTAGATTTCAGCGTTCTGCGATTGAGTCTTGTATCGCTTTAAAAGTCATAAAATCTAATACACAAATAAGGTGCAAATATTTTATATGTATTTATTTATTTTTCAGGTTATCTGATTATAAAGAGATTGAATTCATTATAAAATGCTGTTATCCGCCCAGTTTGGTCTGTTTTGTTATTTGCTCAACTTCGTATAGAAAAGTTCAAGTTTGTTTCCGTTGCATGATGGCAGTGCAGATAGTGTAGTAAGTGTTTGTGAATGTAAATACTTCACCCTACTTTTACTTCCTTGCTTTCTGGCTTAGTTCTTGCCAGCCCCTTCCTATTTACACCTTCACGGCTTTACTTTTTTACTTTAGGTCAATTTTTGCCATTAGATCATTTGTCGTCCCCAGGGCTTATTATCCTGGACGGCTTATATTCGCTTCCGGGCCACGTGGTCCGAGCAAATTCCCTGATATGTCACCGAAAATCTGGTTATAACTGAATTAAATCTCAAGGAACCTAACATGTTCCACCACGCAAGTCAGTGATACGTGGATCACTGCTAGCCTTAACAAACTTTGATGATATATTTTTAGAATGCAGTTATCCGTTACAGGGTGCGTTATTCGATATGACAGTTCTTTCGTAAACAGCTTTTAATGATTTTCTTGGAATGAGTGGTTTCCGGTGATTTAATTCTGTGAAATCGTCCTTTGAAAATCATGCACAAAAAAAAATATAACCGCGGAAAAATGTTTCTAAGAAAAATGCTTCGAGTTTCCTGGAACTGGCGATCCGCGGGATGTAATTTTAATTGTAACATGCGTCAGGGCTAAATAAAACATAAATTAGATTTATAAAAATCTCTGTTTGATTACGTTTTAGAATAATAATTTCATCTAGAGACCGTTGTTCTCTATCGGTATATGGTTTAGGCATCTACGTAAAAATATACAAATGAAATAGGCAGAACAGCTCGACCAAACACCCTTTATTAGCTTTGAGACTAAACATTGGCTACCTACGGTTATCAAACAAAAATAGAGGAAAGGTAATGCATATAAATAAATATACACTCACGGTCATCAATCCATCAACTGTCCATTCACGTGACGGGAAGATAAGAAAAGTCGCGATCGTTATTGGCTGGTCACTAAGCTTTTAGAAGAACGATAATTATAACTTGTTCTGGACTATTCGAGGCTGAATTAAGCCTTCTGGCGAATTGATAAGTAGTAGTCAGTTGGCTGTTTATAAGCGAGTAATTTGAAACGAATTTTGCGCCGACCCGAAACTTGTGAATCGAGTCCAACTATGGCAACTTCACCTTCGATTCCATTGTCGTCGAGCGACTCTGGTTCAGGATCTGTTTTCGACACGTCGGAAGAAAAGACGAACGGCACTAGATTGGCACGATTACTGGTCGATGGAGGAACTCACGTTTTAAGAAAGTTTTTAGATTCTGTTTATCCTGAGCCAAAATTACTTGCTAAAGGGTTGAACAAGAACTCTGTAAAGTTTCAACATCTCAAGTCAAAACGCGTGATATCGGACCATCAGTGGCAAAAGTTATTTCCGCCTTCCGGTCTACCGGCGGACTCGAAGGAGTTTGATATAACACTTTTACATTTGTTGATTAGAGAAATCTGTTATCTACCTGTACCACTAACAGGCTGGCATAAAATGCCTGCTGATGATGACCAAAGCTTGGAGGCAAACATCGCCAGAATCAAATGCTTCCGAAATGAGCTATGTCACAATGTTTCAACAGGCATTCCTAATGAGGAGTTCGANCTTAGAAAAGGCTCAACTACCAGACTGCTCTGAGTAGATTTCAGCGTTCTGCGATTGGGTCTTGTATCGCTTTAAAAGTCATAAAATCTAATACACAAATAAGGTGCAAATATTTTATATGTATTTATTTATTTTTCAGGTTATCTGATTATAAAGAGATTGAATTCATTATAAAATGCTGTTATCCGCCCAGTTTGGTCTGTTTTGTTATTTGCTCAACTTCGTATAGAAAAGTTCAAGTTTGTTTCCGTTGCATGATGGCAGTGCAGATAGTGTAGTAAGTGTTTGTGAATGTAAATACTTCACCCTACTTTTACTTCCTTGCTTTCTGGCTTAGTTCTTGCCAGCCCCTTCCTATTTACACCTTCACGGCTTTACTTTTTTACTTTAGGTCAATTTTTGCCATTAGATCATTTGTCGTCCCCAGGGCTTATTATCCTGGACGGCTTATATTCGCTTCCGGGCCACGTGGTCCGAGCAAATTCCCTGATATGTCACCGAAAATCTGGTTATAACTGAATTAAATCTCAAGGAACCTAACATGTTCCACCACGCAAGTCAGTGATACGTGGATCACTGCTAGCCTTAACAAACTTTGATGATATATTTTTAGAATGCAGTTATCCGTTACAGGGTGCGTTATTCGATATGACAGTTCTTTCGTAAACAGCTTTTAATGATTTTCTTGGAATGAGTGGTTTCCGGTGATTTAATTCTGTGAAATCGTCCTTTGAAAATCATGCACAAAAAAAAATATAACCGCGGAAAAATGTTTCTAAGAAAAATGCTTCGAGTTTCCTGGAACTGGCGATCCGCGGGATGTAATTTTAATTGTAACATGCGTCAGGGCTAAATAAAACATAAATTAGATTTATAAAAATCTCTGTTTGATTACGTTTTAGAATAATAATTTCATCTAGAGACCGTTGTTCTCTATCGGTATATGGTTTAGGCATCTACGTAAAAATATACAAATGAAATAGGCAGAACAGCTCGACCAAACACCCTTTATTAGCTTTGAGACTAAACATTGGCTACCTACGGTTATCAAACAAAAATAGAGGAAAGGTAATGCATATAAATAAATATACACTCACGGTCATCAATCCATCAACTGTCCATTCACGTGACGGGAAGATAAGAAAAGTCGCGATCGTTATTGGCTGGTCACTAAGCTTTTAGAAGAACGATAATTATAACTTGTTCTGGACTATTCGAGGCTGAATTAAGCCTTCTGGCGAATTGATAAGTAGTAGTCAGTTGGCTGTTTATAAGCGAGTAATTTGAAACGAATTTTGCGCCGACCCGAAACTTGTGAATCGAGTCCAACTATGGCAACTTCACCTTCGATTCCATTGTCGTCGAGCGACTCTGGTTCAGGATCTGTTTTCGACACGTCGGAAGAAAAGACGAACGGCACTAGATTGGCACGATTACTGGTCGATGGAGGAACTCACGTTTTAAGAAAGTTTTTAGATTCTGTTTATCCTGAGCCAAAATTACTTGCTAAAGGGTTGAACAAGAACTCTGTAAAGTTTCAACATCTCAAGTCAAAACGCGTGATATCGGACCATCAGTGGCAAAAGTTATTTCCGCCTTCCGGTCTACCGGCGGACTCGAAGGAGTTTGATATAACACTTTTACATTTGTTGATTAGAGAAATCTGTTATCTACCTGTACCACTAACAGGCTGGCATAAAATGCCTGCTGATGATGACCAAAGCTTGGAGGCAAACATCGCCAGAATCAAATGCTTCCGAAATGAGCTATGTCACAATGTTTCAACAGGCATTCCTAATGAGGAGTTCGAAGACAAATGGAATACAATAACTTCGTCTTTAGAAGCGATTAAAATTGGCGTCTACCGAAAAAAAATTCAGGCTCTCAAGAATGATTCGATTGACCATAAAACCCACAAAAGGGTGGAGGAAGAAGTCGAGAAGTGGCAACAATTTCAAGAGCTAGAAGATATTAAGCCAATTTCTCAACTTGACAGCTATTTTCCGGATATTCTGCCACACGAGCGCATGTTTGGTCGTCCACAAGAGTTACAGGAGGTCGTAAAATGCATTGAAGGTGGAACAGTTTCTGTAGTGCTGATAACCGGGGGTCCAGGATTTGGTAAAACAACTTTGGCCAAGGCAGTTGCCCATGAGCTTGCAAAATCCGATAATACGAGAAAAGTGTTATTTTGCCGTTTGCTTTCGAAGAAAACGTTCAACGAAGTGGCCATTGAAATGATTCACTCCTGTGGAAAGAGTTATGCACAGCCTCCCCAATATCCGGACCAGTGGCTCAAGGACTGGAGCAGACAGATCCCAGTGCAAGTCACTTTTGTTCTCGATAATGCAGATGATATCCTGGAATCAAACCAAAAATCTTCCTTCTTAGACATCTTGTGTGAGATGGCGCAGTTATCCGAGAAAAAGCTGACATTTGTGATTACTTCCAGAGAACAATTCAAAGCACGAGATCTGCTGTCGAAGGAGGTCGTGTTAGCCTCGTTATCGACGGATCAGGCGAAGAAAGTCCTTATCTCCCGCGTAAGCGATAAAGAAATTGGCGAGAATCTTTCCAAAACAGAGGAAATAGTAAAGCTGTGTGGCCGTGTTCCTTTGGCTCTTTGCATTGTTGGGTCACTTCTTTCAGACTACACGGAGGAGAGGCTTGTTAATGACCTTGAGAAGGAACCTATGAAGCTGCTGGATGATGGAAATGAGTCAATTGAAAGGGTCATCAAAACGTCTTTTGATCTTTTGTCTAAAGATAAGCAGGATTCCTTGGTCCTAATGTCAGTCTACCCGGGATCATTTGATAGCGATGCTGCCGTGGCTGTGATATCAAAAGCTTGTTCAGAATCTGGGACCCTGCCCGTTTCTGTCCTGCGCTGCTTAAAGAAGAGCTCTCTTGTTGAGCAACCAAGTTCACGAAGATATCAACTGCATCCTCTTCTTCGCGCCTTTGGCCAAGCCAATGATCCACGACAAGTTTTAGTCGGGGCAGAAAAACTGGCCTGTTCTCACTTCATTTCTCTTCTTGTTCAGAACGCAACGAAGTTCTGGAGCAAGGACCAATGCAAAGCAGCTATCGACTTGTTCAGTGAAGACAGACACAACTTCGAGTATTTCCTTCAAGTATACGCCAAAGCAGCCGAGACCCTTGAGTGTTGCAAGGAGTTCCAACACAATTTTCTCCAGAATTGCATGTATTTGGAGAAGTGTCTTTCACCGTCATTCTATACTGTCTTTGTGGAAGCGTTATTGTCGTATACTGAGCCCAAAACTCAACCAGTGCGTGCTGCAGAACTCTTGTGTCTTCGAGGACATGAGAAAAGAAAAGTTGGAGACAAGGAAAATGACTACCAGGTGGACATGGAAGAAGCATATAATCTGTACTCTGAGAACGGTGGTAAATTCGAGACAAACACAATGTCGGCAGTCTT